ATTAATGTCACAAATTACCTCATTTTTGGCTTCATTGATTGGCCTAATATGTATGACGAGCCGCGCGCCGCTCGCCGCGTGACGAAGACCCGGCAATTAGCCGATAGCTCGCGAGCCGTGCAGAGGCATTCAGTCGTGCGTATCCTCGTTTTAACTTTTCTTTGTGAATCGCCTCGTGGCAAGAGAGTGACTTTTGACTGTGACAAGTTAGTGAGGTGCAACTGTGCGTACAATACCTCCTCTTCTTCGAACAAGCGACTGTACAGTTAGGCGAATTCTGTAATCTTGCCGAATCGTAATTGAGAGACTTCGATTAACCCATTAAGGACGGGACGGACACTTTTTCGTGTCCAACTTCAAGCTACAACCAAGCCAATAATTTAATTGCAAAAAAATTCGCGAACCACCGTTTCCCATGTTTTGGAGTATGTTCTTTCCGATTACGACACTTAATTTTTTCTAAAATGAGTTTTTTCATGTACAATTTGAAAATTAAAAAAAAAAGCACTGATTTTTTGGAAAAAAAAATTTTTGTGATCGAAATTTGTTTGCCTTTTGATTTTTTTATGGGCTTAAAATTCATAAAAAAGGTGTCCATGATACCTTAACTAAAAAATATCGGCCCTACGAAAACCCAAATATATATATTTTTTAATAAATTTGCGTAAATAAACAAAAATTTCATTCACTAACTTCACCGATTTTTATCTCGAAAACTATCGACTTTCATGAAAAGTTTATAAGAACAAAAAATGCTTAGAATCAGTCAAGGAACACGTCTGAATTTTTTCAGATTCTTGGGGACCATTTTTGGTTTTTTCGTAAATGGCCATTTTTGAAAAAACCAAAAATGGTCCCCAAAAATCTGAAAAAATTCAGACATGTTCCTTGACTGATTCTAAGCATTTTTTGTTCTTATAAACTTTTCATGAAAGTCGATAGTTTTCGAGAAAAAAATTATCTAAGTTTGAAAAAGCGTTCTTTAGCCGGCTAATAACACTACCGTTGCCCAGCTCTTACCACGGGTAGGTAAACGCATAATCAAGAGCCTCGTTTTTTTTGTGTTTTTTTTGTTTTAAAATTTTTGTTTTGTTTTTAATTTATGTTTTTTTTTTCTCTTTTTTTAATTTTTGTTTTTCTTTTTCTTTTTTTTTTGTTTTATTCATGACGTGTGAAAAGTAAGAAAGCAGGACGAACACAAGTAAATTTCACAGTTTTTGCACATTTTTTGTGTCCTTGCGTTACATTTCTCAAAATTTTGACAATATCCTTTCTTTGCAACATATACGCTTTTGTGCTTCTTTGATTTAGCTAGATAGGATTTTGCAATTTCCAAGGCGATCGATTTTGTTCCTACTTTATCATCATGAACTAAATTTCGAAGAATTGACGCATTAGTAATTGATGATTGTATCAATCTTAATAATATAGGCCACGTCCACTTTTTCGATCTGAAAGAAGCATATAAATTGCTGCAGTGAGCATCATGTTGATCAACTCCACCCATATAATCATTGTACTGTTTCACAACTTTAGGAACTGGCAAACCTACTTTAGAGTGATCTCTTGAAGAATATGCGTACAAATCTGTTTTTTAAAATCACGCAGGAATATATGACCTGCTTACATTGGAAAACTACGGGAATTTTGAGATTACGTCAAGCTATCAATATTTTCGTGAAAGACAACCTGTAATGCACTTTCATGAATCAATGAATGAGTTGTGACATAACAAAACTCTTAGTGTACCAGTTATCTCGCCAGAATGAAGGCTGGCAACGGTAGTGTTATTAGCCGGCTAAAGAACGCTTTTTCAAACTTAGATAATTTTTTTCTCGAAAACTATGGACTTTCATGAAAAGTTTATAAGAACAAAAAATGCTTAGAATCAGTCAAGGAACATGTCTGAATTTTTTCAGATTTTTGGGGACCATTTTTGGTTTTTTCAAAAATGGCCATTTACGAAAAAACCAAAAATGGTTCCCAAAAATCTGAAAAAATTCAGACATGTTCCTTGACTGATTCTAAGCATTTTTTGTTCTTATAAACTTTTCATGAAAGTCGATAGTTTTCGAGATAAAAATCGGTGAAGTTAGTGAATGAAATTTTTGTTTATTTACGTAAATTTATTAAAAAATATATATATTTGGATTTTCGTAGGGCCGATATTTTTCAGTTAAGGTATCATGGACACCTTTTTTATGAATTTTAAGCCCATAAAAAAATCGAAAGGCAAACAAATTTCGATCACAAAAATTTTTTTTTCCAAAAAATCAGTGCTTTTTTTTTTAATTTTCAAATTGTACATGAAAAAACTCATTTTAGCAAAAATTAAGTGTCATAATCGGAAAGAACATACTCCAAAACATGGGAAACGGTGGTTCGCGAATTTTTTTGCAATTAAATTATTGGCTTGGTTGTAGCTTGAAGTTGGACACGAAAAAGTGTCCGTCCCGTCCTTAATGGGTTAATGTAAGTACCGACCGTTCCTTGGATCTCTCTCTCGCTTTGTCTATCTCGCCGCTCTCTCTGAACCGCCCTGTACAGTAACACGTACATAAATTATATGTATTTGTATACTAGTAAAACTGCATGGCTTTTTTTTCGGACTACCTTTCCTTCCTATCGCTTCCCTCAACTTTCGCGATTTAAGCTGCGTGACCCACGACGCTCTCCGCGGGCCAGTTGGCGATCTGACCGACCGCGCCGGTCTTACGTAGCAGAACGTAATCCTGCGAAGAGCTGCAATTGTGCCAGCCACTACTTGATCTCGGTTTAATTAATATACTGTAGCGGTCTAAATTCCCGTTAAAATTTCTTTTTTTTGCGTTATTTATAGGCTTTACAGAATTTCTCAGTATATTAATTAGTATAATTATAATGTTTAAATATATTTTCAACATGTAAAAAATAAAAAGGCATTTTATTCTGTTTCTATTTGTTAATATTTTTGAAACATTATCCTGAAAACTATTAATTCAGGAGAATTACGAATAAACTAATACCAAGCTGTACGTTCATAAAATAGACGTACAACTTACCCTTTCTAAGGGTTATAACTACACTAAATTTTTATTTATTAAAAAAAATCACTGTAACTGCTAAAACTTCTACGAAGGCACGGAATATCATATATTAGTTCGGTATAATTGAATTACTCTTCATTAATTATAATTAAATTACTCATATTAGTCATTCATTTATTACTTAGTCATTCTTATTTTTGTTTTCAATATTTATAGTTGTATTACAATGACATATCGTATAATGTCGTACTATGTGATTTACAATAATAGAAACTCACCAATGTGCTTACGCACTTACAAGCCTTTTAGATGCTTAAAAGTAATTTTGACTATACAAGGCTATAGAGACCGAGAAAAGCCGACAGCATCCTCAATTTGGTGTAATAAAGTGTTAAATTGAATTTACATTCCACGCTCAAAATTAATTCCGCGATGAACATAAGTTATAACATTAGTAGAATAAGCACATAGTATTAAAATAATGTAATTTAAAATATTTCAATGGATAGCTTGTAAATAATTTATACAACAATTCTTTATATACAAAATTTTCAATGCTATCTTTAGCAGGAAAATCTGTATATATTTTCAATGAATCCCAAGATTGCACTCGAGATAAAGCAACATATAACTGTCCCTTGTTAAAAACATCATTTTTATAATCGATTACAATTTTTTCTAAAGTTTGACCTTGCTTTTTGTTAATTGTCATTAAAAATGCTAATTTTACGGGAAATTGTTGGCGTTTAAAAGCAAATGGATATTCATTGTCTGACAAATACAATGTTATACGGTTCATGAAGACAATTTAACTTTTTTTGTGATCTATTAATATTTTGCATTTTAATCAATTATTGCTAAGTACAATTACATAAATCTTCATTGATACTAAGATTTCGAATAAGCATATACATTCTCAATTTTAATTCGTAAAGGGGAAGAGATGAAGAAGAGAGTATATTAAAATCTTCTTTTGATATAGCTCCTTGAAAACTATGTAACTTGGAAATGTTACATAGGTTTTTGTCATGATTTTTCCCGTAGAATTGATTGCTGCATTCAGTTTTCCAAAATAAAAATTTTTCAGTAATTTGTTCAAACAATTTTTTATAAACAATTGAAAATGGTAAAAGAAAAAACACGTATATTTTATTTCTTGATTATGCAAAGGATGGCGTAGTTACTTTGTTGCTATCTTATCCAAGATTTTGCATGGGCCTTAATGCGTTAATGAAATATATGCATAACAAATATCTATGTGTTTGTATAAATTATGTAGATAATTCAATATATAATCACTTTTCAAAGCAGCCTGACTTACAATACTAGCCAGATTCGCAAATAAGAGAATTCAATTAATGATTTCAATAGACTGCGTTAAGAAATATAAATTGTAAATAGATTAAGCTCAAGAGAGCTCTGCTGATTCTTTATCCAGCCGTTGCGATTCGATCACTGTTTATTAAAAGTGGTACCGTAATCATACTCTACGAGTGATGGCAAATACATTTGCCTCCGGCCACATGTTTTTCACTTTTTCAATTTTCTCCATTTTTCATAATATAATATACACTGTATTTTACAATTACAAGAAAGTCGATATTTCGTTCAGCACACTAATTGATTTAAATGTATTTGTGCACTAAAGATTAAAAAGATAAAAACTAATTAATCCCACAAATTATATGCAACTAAATCCAACCCAATAGCACTGCTTAGTATTTATATCATCAATAAATAACTTATACAAAAGAATATAGCTATTATATAATGATATCAATGTTAAATTCCACTTAAAAAACTGGAATTTGTATATATATTATACGTGCAGTTTGTGATGTATTTGTTGATTTATTTGTTTGTTGATTTTGTTGATTTATTGAAATTTAGAGAAATTGGTTAAATAAATCCGCACTTTTATTTTTGTTTCTTAATTAATATTTTGAATTAATTTGTTTAATATACCTTTTTTAGATAAAGACTATCGCAGAACGAATACTGAATCATCTGTCGAGTATAAGAAGAAAGAAGTAGAAATAGAAGTTTTATTGAATAACCAGCATAATATTTTAAGTACCATGCATGAAATAACATCTTCTATGAAATCACTGATGTTGAAAGTAGATACAATTTTAAATATTAGTCAAAATGTTGCCCAGGTAAATTTATTTTTTGAAAACGATACTTGTAAAAAGAATCATGTAAGTTTAAATATTCCTTACTAATTGCAGGTGCAACCTTTGCCATTTGATTATCAATCATTTATAGCTGAAATAAGAGATGGATTAAATTTATTAAAGAATGATATTTTGCAAACAAATTCAAAAATACAAAACATTGGATCTAATTGTCTTGCAAGTAATTGTATTAGCACAACTACATTTTTAGTATTTTCAATTGTTCAGATTTTATTTATATTAGGCTACAACATTTACAGGTAAATTAATAATTTATATTCATATTAATAACAAGAAAGAAAATTATTTTACCTTCTTTAATTATTAGTATATTCTTAACTTTCTACTAAAGTGTGATACCAAAGGATCGCGATCGCAAAAAATGAACTAGTCTGATATTACAAGCATATCATTCATTCTTCTATAATTGATACAAGTATCAACCAAAGCTAGGTTGGCCTTTCCTACGATCATCTACAATTACAAAACTGCGTAATAATCTTCAATTATCATGAATCTGGAAGGCTCTCTGGCGATTGATAGCTGGAAATCTCAAACATGATAAAAGGAAAAATTGAAGAAAACACGCGGAAAAATGTTCTTAGTCCTTATTACTCATGAGTTCAAGTAATGTTTCGCTGCATTTCTTCGTTTGTAATGCAATTAATCGATGAGGGAAAGAAATAGAGAAAGATTGTAGATTAATCTTTCTTAAAACCATGAGTCATCTCTGATGGATTAGAAGCAATTAACAGAGCAATAAAAACAATAATAATAAAATAAAAACAATCAATAGTAAATAATAACAAAAAATAATAATAAAAATACAAATATGTGAACATAGGCACGGCTGAAGTATACAATAATGATAATGCAACAAATAAAAAAATACAGGATACAAAGCAGGACAAGATGACTAGCGCATAATGATAATAACTATAACTAAGTAACGAATGTGTAATGCGGTACATTACAAGGCCTTTCCTGAGCGCTGCATTATTTGCAATACCTCAGAAAGGCCATCCCCGTCCCTTGCCGCCCCGTAACCGGTTGAATAAAATAAAGATAAACGCGCCCTATATAAAACAATTACCCCTTTCTATGTCCGAACAACCACACCGGAGATATTGGCAAAACAAACTCGACAAACGCGGTCCGATGGACACTCAAAGAGAAGAGAGAAAAACAAAGGAGCGCACCACGGAAAAAGAGAGCGCACGCACACACTCACTCCCGACCACGTGGCCGACCGGCAAAAGAAAATGGAAAAACTTGACTGGGAAATGCAACGGAAATGCATGTTCATGACACATGCAGATCCGTTACACTCCCAGACACCAACACCAACACTCACAAAGCACTGACACTCCTGGGGCGAGCAGAAAATCGCCGATGAAGTGGCAGCCGGCAATCAGCTGTGTCGGGCTGCCGAACACCATCGGTGACATCCTGAGCGCCACACACAAGCACAACAGCGACCACACAAACACCCGGGAACACGTCACTCAACCGACATGGGAGCGCCCCAGGAGGCGCTCCAACAACCGATACAGGAACACGAGGTGTACGCGCGAGAGACCGAGCGGCCATTTTGAAACGCCGAGACAGAGCGAGCGAAGTAGACTAGACAAGAGCGAGCGAGACAGACTGAGACAGAGCGAGCGAGACAGAGCGAGCGAAATAAACTAAACAAGAGCGAGCGAGCAGATGATATGAAATGATAAATAGAATAATATGCAAATGCGAGGATGAGGGCGCTACAAATGAAACGACGTATATTATATACGTATTCATGACAAATTAAAATTATAATTGAAAAAGAATGAACATAGAATAGATACCGAATTGTAAAATTCGCATGCGACCGACACCCCTATTATAATAGCGAGCGACAACTACCCCGTTAGGTTTAAGCAATAAATTAACCGACAGAATTCGAACCTCTGACGAAATTCGCTAGTGACGTCACGACCAATCAGCGAATTAGAATAAAATTTGATTTCCGTCCGGATAAAAAAATAGATATGAGTAGGGGTAGATCTTTTCCGACAATTAATGATAGCTACCTTAGTGGGGAGTGAGAGAGGGTAAATAACGACGAAAGTAGGAGAGTTAAGGAGGGCGCTGTATCCTTCTAATTTACATACGGACCAATGATAAAATATTCGGAGGGCGCTACCGATATTCGAATTAGCATACCGACCAATAATAACATTTCTTCTCGGAAAGAGGAGAAGAAAAGCGATTTTTGACCGCAAAAAGCCGATTCTCGTCCATTTTGCCACCGGTCTTCTAGCTAGAAGGAGTGATTGAGCCAGATACGTCAATAAAGTGATTGATTGTTTCTTTACATATAATTTACTTCTGTTACTCTGCCTCAATTGCATGCTGGTGATTTTCAGCCGCGGGCAGTTATAATCGGGTAACGCTTTTTCGCTATATTTTCGGGTCCCACGATAGGTAACATATGCGCGAATTCGAACGGAGTTACGACCTGGATTAAGGAGCCATCATCTGAGCTACCGGCTTACCATAATTGAGGAGGAAAAAATTGGAATCGAGTAGTTGGACACCGAGGCCTGAACTGAGGAAATCGCGAGTACTCACCCGCTTGCCTACCCTGCGCAGTCGCCGTGAAGGCAGGCCGGGATACCCGCGACGAAACCCCATTTTGACCCTACCCCCGACGATCGCCCTAATTAGTCGGCGGTCTGGCACCCTAAATAATCGGGGGTAGTGAGTCAAACAGGCCTTGTGGGGGAAGAAACTCGTAGAGCGGTTAAAACCCCCGAAATTCCCTGCCACAAGTAGCGCCCAACTTTAAATTTCGCGTATAGTTCCCGATCAGAAATTTGCGAATTAGTCAGACCACCCTATTATTATATATTGATAATTATATTATATATGTTTTTTATATGTTATTAATAATTTAAAATAAGCATGTTTATGTAATTGAATGTAGTATTGGAATAACTATTTAATAAGCTTATTTTCAGCATATTTTCTGACCATCAGTACAAGTACTGATACATAGCATATTTTCTGACCATCAGTATACGATACTGATACCTAGCATTTCTGACCATCAGTACAAGTTACTGATACTTAGCATTTCTGACCATCAGTACAAGTTACTGATACCTAGCATTTTTGAACAACAGTATTATTGAAGACAACCAGTATATTATCAGAAGAAAATCAGGATAGCACATAAAATCTGACCGATCATAGCCGTGAAAGCCAATTCCGAGGCTCCAAAACCCTGGCTATAAACTGCGGACTCACAACGAATTGAACTCGACTGTGTCAGGTACTAATAGTTCAGACATGAACAGTACGAATACGTTGCCACAGACTTTGACAGTTCGAAGTCTGACTTGAAACTATTTTAAAGAGCAACAGTTCAAGTTCGTTTGGGGTTCGTATATAGCTTGGATTTGGCACCAGACTCTGATAGTTCAGACTCTGGGAAGATTTCGGATTTGGTTACTTCCGAACGGATATTGTAGGGTTCAACAATCTGAAATTAGCTTAAACTGACATTAGATAAATTAAACTAATAAAAATGGTTGTGACTCATGATGACATCCCAGCCAAAGCAACAGTTGAACCGCCACTATCAAATGCTGACCTGCTATATATATTAAAGAAAAATAAAACAGCGAGAGATATAGCAAATAGAATAGCTGACAATACGGAAGAGGAAATTCGTAATGAATTACGTCAAGGTGGATGGCGAATATCGAACGAAGAAAACACAGACCGATTAGAACTACTGCGATGGGTAATTCGAGAACAAAGACTGTCAGCTAATCCGTCCATGACCCGCAGTCAGAGAATTGACAGTTTTCCACCGCTGGCTAGAATATTATTAAATAAAGAACATGAAACTGACTCTAACAAAACTGCCAACCAGCCCCCAAAAACAAATACGACAGATGCAATGTCAACAGCAGGCGAGGAGTTAGAAACAGACGAGCGACAGACAACAGAGACGAATCAACTAATTGACCTACCACTCGATGTAGATACCGTTCGTCGACAAGCTACGCCACCAAAACAATTCCATACAACCTCACCAACATTAACATGGAATCAGATTAATGAAACGGAACCAAACAATACCAATAGACAAACAACCAGAAATAGAGAAATGGAAATAGCACAAATCACATCAGATGATGACTATTCCCGTGCTCAAGCACCACGTTCGCCGACATACAATAGACATAATCGTAAAATGCGTACTAGACAGTCAAATTGGTCCGACAGCAACTCAGAGATTAGTAGGGAGATAGCTAACCGTAATGTGTAAGAGCGTGCCTGACCGAACTCACTAGTTCGAGCGCCCCGTGGTGGCCAAGCGGCGAACTGAACGCACCTTCTCCTCCGGCGCTTTGGAGGGGGCATGGTATATGTGCGTCCGACAGAAGAGGGGAATGTGCGTTGGGCGCCAAACTGTGAGCATGCCGTACGCTCTGAGAGAGAGAGAGTGAAGGGGCGGAGTCAATGCGTGTGTTATACTCGCTCGCTCGAAAGCAATTCCGACTTTCTGAGCTGAGCTGGGATTCTCGCGGTTGTTGCGCTTCATCTATGACATCGGGTATTTCATTTTTTATGCTTTTTCAGGTGCAGTGTAATTTAATTAAGTGATTAACTATCGGGTCAAGCACGAAAAGTTAATCCTAAACTCCCATGCTCCCTGATAAACATATGTGACTTTCATACTCTCACTACCAGTGCGCCGATAGCCGCGGTAGCTAAGGCGTGCTCACGCTGCTCTCGTTTTTGCGGTCACGGGTTTAAATCTCAATCGATTTACTTTTTTTTTTCGTTTCGACCAATTTGTGTGAAAAATCAATAATGTACACGAATAGTAAAAAAACCGCTTAAACGCCGTTATTTAAGTTAAAAAGACGTTGTAATATACGTATACGCCAAACGGCGACACACACACACACGCATATATATATATATTTTTTTTCATGTTTCACTATTATCATACATTTTCTTCATTAGGTACATGATTATTTTCGTCAAATGAATCACAGAAAAGTGCACTCGTACAAGTCTTTGTACACGATAAACTGTACATAAAAATTGTAAATAATGAAAGTATTTATTAACGATTTTCACAGCAAGTTATATTATAAGTCAAACTATTTGTACACAAATTATCTTATTGACGTTCATTTTTATGTTTATTTACACATTGATTAACGTGATGGTCAGATAAATAAAACACAAAAATAACTTACAA